ACACACTCACACACACACACACACACACACACACACACCAGTTTTCATGTTGTATGGGTTCATTCCTTAGGTGTAATGTGTTTTTTTTTGTACCGTGCAAACTCTATTTTCTATATGATACATCTCCAGCACTCCTGAACTAACTCCAGCATAACTAATCCAAGTCCTTCCAAAATCTGGATTTGTAAAATCTGCTAAATCTAATAGTAGTTTTCATTGTATTAAGTAAAACTACCCAAAACCAACCAGCAGAGGACATGAGTGAGCAAACAGTTCATAACCAGATATGCTCAACAATAGGCCGTAAGGTGAAGCCGTTTTTCGTTTAATCCCGTTCCCATATATGGGGCACTAAATTCTTTTCATTCCAATAAAAAGATCTATTGGTTTTGAGCGAGAAAATAAAAGTTCTCCATGTATAATCCTGCAGTTTATTTTTTATAAGTGTTTAAAGTCGGCAATAGTTCCTTACTCGCGTAATCATATTTTGATCATGAGTGATTAGGCTTCGCGTCACGTGTGGGAAGCACGACCAATAAGGCGGCCGCTTTTTGGAACGACATGTAAACATGAGTCCAAGATGTCTGCGCCCTTGTTGTCAATATCGAGTAGCGAAGAAGAGGAAATTACGGCCAGACCTCCTTCAAAACTCCGTAAAAAGGATTATAAACAATGCTATATGCATCTCACGTACATAAAGAAAGAAGAAACAAAGGATTTACACGCACACGATGGGATACATTCAGAAATAGCGTCAAACGGTGGCTTGTTGGGCGGCGTTATGCAACTCTTCCCACATCTTCACACAAAGAAAGAAAGCGTAACTTTTATTCTCGCTGTAGTATTGTTGAACCCTTCCAGATGTTTCAGAAGCAGTATTTTGTATAATTTTATTTTAAATATGTGTCCGTTCTGAAGGCAAGCATAGTGTGATTGACAGGTTTATGTGCTGGATGAAGCTAAAGCTGCAGTCGGGTCTGGACTTCAGTCTCACTAAAGCATTTATATCACATCTTAAAAGACAAATTATTGCTCTAGTCTGACTAAAGTATTTTACAGTTCATCTTTACGATCACTGGGACACATTTCTCGATGTTTAGCTCACTTTTTCTAAACTCTTCACAGTTTTCTTAACCAAGCTTCCAGTTTGGCACAGCTGTTCATTTACTTCATACAGTCTCAAACCAATCATTCTTCATCACACTAGCAAACACACTCATCACTTATAACACAGAGAGATGAAAACACTAACCATACGAAGTGTTATACAATGATTTCTTCTGTTAAATTTCTTGACAAAACCAGAACGTCAGCTCTGTGTGCTTGATGTGAGGTTTGATGAAGTTTCACAGATGTAAGCGTGTGACATGTTCGTCTGCAGGTTACGCTAACGAGGTGGGCGAGACATTCCGCGCGCTGGTGCCGGTCAGCGCTGTGTGGGCCAGTTACGCCGTGGCCACCGCATACGTGTCAGCTGACGCGCTGGACAAAGGCAGGAAAGCAGCGGCGGTGAGTCTGGATCAGTCCGAGTCAGTCTGGATCTGTCCGGGTCAGTCTGGATCTGTCTGGGTCAGTCTGGATCTGTCTGGGTCAGCCTGGGTCTGTCTGGGTCAGTCTGGGTCTGTCTGGATCTGTCTGGGTCAGTCTGGATCAGTCTGGATCAGTCTGGATCTGTCTGGGTCAGTCTGGATCTGTCTGAATCTGTCTGGATCAGTCTGGGTCAGTCTGGATCCGTCTGGGTCAGTCTGGGTCAGTCTGGATCTGTCTGGGTCAGTCTGGATCTGTCTGGATCTGTCTGGGTCAGTCTGGATCTGTCTGGATCTGTCTGGATCAGTCTGGGTCAGTCTGGATCCGTCTGGGTCAGTCTGGGTCTGTCTGGATCTGTCTGGGTCAGTCTGAGTCAGTCTGGATCAGTCTGGATCTGTCTGGGTCAGTCTGGATCTGTCTGGGTCAGTCTGGATCCGTCTGGATCCGTCTGGATCCGTCTGGGTCAGTCTGAGTCCGTCTGGGTCAGTCTGGATCTGTCTGGGTCAGTCTGAGTCAGTCTGGATCAGTCTGGGTCAGTCTGGGTCAGTCTGAGTCAGTCTGGATCTGTCTGGATCTGTCTGGATCTGTCTGGATCTGTCTGGATCTGTCTGGATCAGTCTGGATCCGTCTGGATCCGTCTGGGTCAGTCTGAGTCTGTCTGGATCTGTCTGGGTCAGTCTAGCTCAGTCTGGATCGTTCTCGTCTGCTCTCATTGACCGCTCGGCTGGTTGTGTCTGTAGGCTCACGCTGAGGATTATGGGAAGGCGGCGCGAGTGGCTGTCGCTGTGGTCGATACGTTCGTCTGGCAGGCTTTGGCTTCGGTGGCCATTCCTGGATTCACCATCAACCGCGTCTGCGCCGCGTCACTCTTCCTGCTGGGAAAAACCACACGCTGGCCACTTCCTGTGCGCAAGTGGACCACGACCGCCATCGGCCTCTCCACCATCCCCTTCATCATCACACCCATCGACAGGTGTGCGTGTGTGTGTGTGTGTGTGTGTGTGTGTGTGTTCATCATCACACCCATCGACAGGCGTGTGTGAGTGTGTGTGTGTGCGCGCGCAGGGTGTCCGCGGGTCCTTAAAAAGTCTTAAAAAGTCTTAAATTCAGATTCGATGGGTCTTAAATATTTTTGGTCACATTATTGCTAAAAATATCTTCAGTCTGACGGACCTAATGACTTTACAATCATTGGACAGACGAAGATTTTTTTCTCCCCCGCGGTAAGTTACTGCGTCATCAGAGAGGATCGCAGTAGCAGAATACAGGTCGAACTACCTTCTTAATGTTCTCAATAATAATAATAATAATAATATAGGTCGAGCTACAGCTGATCAGCCTTCTAGCTAATTTAAAATGTTTTTTTTACTTGCCCGACCAGACAAATAGCCTGATTAAAACATAAGTGACAAAAAAAATAACCAACGAAACATCGAAAAGCGAGAATGATTCTTCTCATTTTATTAGCCTACATTCAATGTAAACGGCGATTGATAATGGATAGTGTATTTCTGGTATCAAGGTCGCGCTGTTGAGGCTCACTCTGTCTCTTTGTGAGAGACTTCAGAACAAATGAGCGTAACAGCACACAAACTCAGAAGAAACACACTGAGGTAAAATTCAAAATGTTTAGTTTATTCATAACATGATATAGTTAAGTAACATACCATGACAAGTGAGCTATTTTGCTGAATATTCTCACGACGCAAAAAAACATTCAAAACGCCTACAGAGTGCATGCATTACGTGAAGTCTAGTGCGCGTGCACATTTACAGTGCGCTCTTTCACTGCATGATTCAGTCTAATAAAATACATTCAGAATGATCACAAATTCAAGACATGGGGCAGAAAATGTATATATTTATACCACTTCATATAGTTAATCAATTTCAAATGAAGAGTCAGTTTTTTTTCTCCAAAAATGACCATGATTACAAATGTGATAGTTTTTTTTTTTCAATTGTTCAATAAACTAGAAGTTAAGAGACTTACATTTTAGACACCATATTGCCAGTTTTTGCACTATTTTGACAACAAAAATAATTCCAAACACAGCCACAGCGCTGTTTTGCATCTCTGAGTAACATGACGGTGTTTCGTTCCTGAATGAATCAATCATTTAAATGATTCGGTTCAATCACAAAGACTCACTTAACAGTGACTTGCTGCCACCTACTGGCGGTTTTAATTTCACATTTTAAGTACCTTTTTATTATTTAAATAATTTCAAATATCAGTATTCAACGTTTTATGTTTAATATATCAAAACATTATTCATGCATTTGTAATTGCAGGTTAAATGCATTCATGTCCAGCATTAAACAGTGTGTAAATACATCTAAATGCCACTTCAGGCGCAGCTTCTGTGCTTCCCCTGCATTGCAAAGATTAATTTTGATACTGATTTAATTTGCCTGGTAACAGCCCAAATGTCTTAATATTCTAATTCACTGATTAAATGTAAAAAATAGGCCTTTGTAAAGGTAAATAAAAATATGCAGATGTAAGTATGTAAAAGCTGATAGAACACTGATAAAAATATTGCTTCAGAATTAATTGTTTGCACCAAACTCTTGGTCATGCGGTGCTTTTGTGGGGATATTTTGCATGGAATATTGTCTTCTGATATGAAAAGTTTATTGTATATCTTGTTACAAAACAGTGATGATATTTTGTTTTCTTTTTACGTTAAACACATTAAATATTACATATACTGTATATATTAGGGCTGTCAAAAAACAATTTGAATTTCGAATATTTGTCGAATTTAAAATAAAAATCCACATTCGAATTTTAGGTCTGCGTTAAGAAGGCAGCTTTATCAGTGGCGCATGAGATGCGATGACGATGTAAGTGTGGTTGCATTATAATGTTTTTGTTAGCCTATCCAGTTGAAGCCACTAGATGCGGCGCTGCTGCGTTGTTCATTACAAATATTGCGGGAAAAGAGAACATCAATGAAGAGAAGATCTTGTTTACGTCAAAACTGAAACCAAGCAGTTCACACAGAACGCATATTTCACGCATTTTCTAGAGGGACATCTATCAGCGTTGCACTCGCGTCTCGCACAAAAGAGCCGCATGTTTAGAAAGCCATAGAAAATGAATTCAAATTCAACTTTGAAAAAAACATATCTCGAGACTTTATGGAATAATGTACTCTGTGTGATTGGTTTTCGGCCCTTTGTATTAAACTATGCATACATACATGATGCTGTTTTGTTTATAGTTGTTTAAGCAACTTAATTAATTATAATTGGTTTATAAACATTATTTTAAACATGCACTTTCTTTCACGGATAGTCATGTTATCGTATGCTCGATGCGCCCTCTTGTGGCCTCAGGAGAGAAGCCAAAAGCTTTTCTTTACCCTAACTGAAATTATGCATTTTAAATTAGAATATAATTCGAATTTTGATCATATTTAAGCACAAAATTCGAATTTAGTTTTTCAGCCATTTTGACAGCCCTAATATGTATGTAATATAATGTGTATTATCATTACAGGTTCAGGTCTTAAATTTCATATAAGGTGGTATTAAAAAGTGTGTGTGTGTGTGAAACTGTGTGTGTGAGAGAGAGAGTGTGTGTGTGTGTGTGTGTGTGTGAGAGAGAGAGAGAGAGAGAGAGAGTGTGTGTGTGAGTGTGTGTGTGAGTGTGTGTGTGAGTGTGTGTGTGAGTGTGTGTGTGAGTGTGTGTGTGAGTGTGTGTGTGAGTGTGTGTGTGAGTGTGTGTGTGAGTGTGTGTGTGAGTGTGTGTGTGAGTGTGTGTGTGAGTGTGTGTGTGAGTGTGTGTGTGAGTGTGTGTGTGAGTGTGTGTGTGAGTGTGTGTGTGAGTGTGTGTGTGAGTGTGTGTGTGAGTGTGTGTGTGAGTGTGTGTGTGAGTGTGTGTGTGAGTGTGTGTGTGAGTGTGTGTGTGAGTGTGTGTGTGAGTGTGTGTGTGAGTGTGTGTGTGAGTGTGTGTGTGAGTGTGTGTGTGAGTGTGTGTGTGAGTGTGTGTGTGAGTGTGTGTGTGAGTGTGTGTGTGAGTGTGTGTGTGAGTGTGTGTGTGAGTGTGTGTGTGAGTGTGTGTGTGAGTGTGTGTGTGAGTGTGTGTGTGAGTGTGTGTGTGAGTGTGTGTGTGAGTGTGTGTGTGTGTGTGTGTGTGTGTCTGAGTGAGTGAGTGAGTGAGTGTGTGTGTGTGTTACATGTGTGTCTGTGTTTTAATGTCAGTCTGTTTGTTCTTCATCAGGTCGGTGGATTTCCTGTTGGACTCCAGTCTGCGGAAACTCTATGGTGAAGGAGAAAAACACGAATGAGCGTCATCACGACACACCTCTGACCCCTGACCTCTGACCCATGCAGCCAGCTCAAGCGCCGGTCTGTGATCATCAGCAGAAACGTGTCTGACACAGATTTGATTTCTGGCGTTTCAGATGAACTGTGCCTCTCTCAGACCTTCGTCTGCATGCGTCTCACTTCATAATGGTTTTATCTGTGCGGTTGTTTGTTTTCAGGTGTTTACTTTTGTTTCATTATTACATGGATTTTATTTCTGGTGAACGGTTGAAGAATCCAGTACTGTATGTTTCTGTATAAATGATAAACTAGTGAAGGATGAGTTTCTAAATACTGTCGTATCGAATCAGTCTGATGTGTTTTAGTCTGATGATATCTCGTGTTTAATCTCACGGTAAAGGGATCAGCCGCGTTTCTCATGAAGCCATAAACTCTACGCAAGTTCAGTTCTGAATGTTCTGCTGGAGCACAAAAAGTGGCATTAAACATATTTTTTAATCAAATGTCTGTTTATTTCTCAGCCCGATTCAGAACTTTGTTTGGTTTTTAGATTCTCTCAGTTGTTTATGCTGATGCTGGGGTTTTAGGAACATGGACCAAAACTAAGGAAGACGTTTACAGTGAGTTTTGTGCTGAAACATCACAATGCCATTCAGTTCTTTCAGTGCAGGACAGATTTATGAATCTATAGATAAACAGGAATGGTAGGGTTGTTAATCATTAAAGTGTTTTTAAAAAAAGCATGTTTAGTCATTTAAATAAAAAATCAAATCAAACAAAAATACATGTATCCATATGTTGATGTATAATAACCCACTGAATTCTGCAGACAGGGTCATGATTCCAAACCATCTGAACACAAAACCTCATGCTTGTAACCAGTGTTGGGGAAAGTTACCTTTAAAAGTAATGCATTACAAAATTGCGTTACTCCCTAAAAAAGTAACTAATTACATTATTTAGTTACTTTTTATGGAAAGTAATGCGTTATGTTACTTTTGCATTACTTTTTCTCGCCTGTGCTGGCTTGCTTATTTGTTTTTAATAACAAAAAAAAACAAAAGTTATATTTGTGGCAACTGTACCTCTGCACCTCATTCCCAATTTCTTTTGTTTTTCTTGTTTTTCCTGCTTAATGACCCTCTCATCTTGTCTTCTGAGAGCATTAAATGTCCCCTGCAGGTTGCTGTCATATATCTGACAACACAACAGCAACTAATTCAATCGTATTGTGTTTGGCTCCAACAAGCTGTTTAAATTCAATTTCCTCCCCATTTTGCTAATGACAAACGTGTCAAATGATTACTGTAACATTGTCTAGTAAACATGCAGTGCTAACTGAAAAGCTAAAACTTAGTAAACAACAACAATGCTGTTTATTTATTTATTAGATAGTTGGTATTAAAACTTGGTATTATATATATATATATATATATATATATATATATATATATATATTTGCTCTGTGCAGACAGGGTCATGATTCCAAACCATCTGAACACAAAACCTCATGCTTGTAACCAGTGTTGGGGAAAGTTACCTTTAAAAGTAATGCATTACAAAATTGCGTTACTCCCTAAAAAAGTAACTAATTACATTATTTAGTTACTTTTTATGGAAAGTAATGCGTTGTTACTTTTGAGTTACTTTTTAAATCTGGGCAGGGCTTGCTTGTTTGTTTTTAATATAAAAAATGTATTTTACAAATGTAAAAGCCCTTTCACATCACAAGTGAAACGAATACGCCTCAGGCTGAAGAAAATGTAGAGGACACGGCTCAAACTAATTATTATCATCATTCAGAATACTGTGCTGAAGGACATCAATATCAATTGTAAAGTTACATTAAAAAAAATTAGCAGAGACCGATATTCAGATGGATTTATTGTACAGGGAGGGAAGGAGCAGACAGCAACACAAAAATAATATGAGTCACAGCCTAATAATTCAATAGTGTGCAGTGTTGGGAAGGTTACTGTGGAAATGTAATAAGTTACAGATTACAAGTTACTCTATTTAAAATGTAATAGTAGTGTAACTTTTTCAATTACTTTATTAAAGTAATGTAACTGATTACGTTTGATTACTTTTCTAAATTTCTAATGAATGTTTATTTTGCATTTTCAAACATTTACACCATGCAGGGTTAAAGGGACAGTTCACCCAAAAATGTAAATTAACTCATAAATTACTCACCCTCAAGGCATCCTAGGTGTATATGACTTTCTTCTTTCCAGTTTGGGAAACCTTGATGTAATATAATGTTTAATGCACTTTGTTAATAACAAATGGAATTTTTTCTTCCTCTATGTATCATTCTATCAATATGGTTCAAGATTATCAGTGTATTTAAATCAATGTGATTAATGAGATATGTCAAAAGTCATTTAAAGTAGTCTGATTACATTACCTAAAATGTGTAATGGATTACATTAAAACTACAGTTTTTGTCATGTAATTTAGAATTAGTAACGGATGTTACTGATTATAGGATAATCTTGAACCATATTTTGGTTTTTCAAATCTTTATTTGACATCTCTAGCACTCTTTATTCTAGTTCTTTAAAAGTTTTTGTTTTTTAGGAAAAACTTTGCAAGTCCCTTTTAGACTTGCACTCTATTCTATTTAGTAACTGCTTGTTTTCTTTAAAAAAAAAAAAAACTAATACTAGCTTCTCTATTCTTTTTTATTCTATCTATTTGTATAAATACATTTAGCTTGGTTGGAACAGCAGCTACACTAATTATGTCTCTATTTGTTTCTCTGTTTCTGCTGGGATTGACATCCCGTGGTAACTAGGATTTACACAAGCTTCAGTCTGGATCCAGAACACCTGAGAAGAGATGATGCCAACCCCTCAGAGGAGCTCAGATGATGCCAACCCTGAAACAACATACAGAACTACCACATTTTGCTATAAGTTTGATTGCATCATATAATAATTGCTGTTAATAGTGTTCATCGTCTGTTTGATTACATCTTTAATTGATTTTTACGTACATTTCTGCCATATGTACATTAACTGACAGTCACCACTGATAAGCTACCACTAAATATTGTAGAAACTTAATTTGCTGTAAAGTTGCTTTGCAATGATTTGTATCGTGAAAAGCGCTGTACAAATAAACTTGAATTGAATTTTCTTTTTATTTATTATACAATTAACAAAAGCAAAAAAGGCCTCTAACACTAGCTTGCTCTATTCTTTTTCTATTCTATCTGTTTTCTTTTTACTTATATAATTAAAAAAGAACCCTTGCTACATGATTAAGCTAACAGACTTGTTATAGCACTTGCGTATCATTGCTCTTTTGTTGATTTTGATTGCTTCCATTGTCCTCATTTGTAAGTCGGAAAAAAGCGTCTGCTAAATGTAAATTGATGTAATAAGTAAGTAATGTAGCAGCTGTGCTCAGACGGACCGGGTCACATACTCGACCTGCTGGTCTACGGCTGGTGCTGTAGGTGACCCGTCCGTCTGAGTTCATGACGGAGAGAGAGGAGTCTTTGAGCTTGTTTTGCACAGACCTGTAAGCAGGACGACGAGGATGATGATGGAGCGGTGACACACTCACAGTCAGTGTTAAACTCACATTCACGACACTCCTCATCTTCATCTTCCTTTCCTGATTCATTTTCTTCATAGACTTTCAATAAAAGTATTAATTTGAAAACCTCTGAATCTAATTTACACTTTTCACCACAATCCTCATGGATTAAATTCACTTTCTATTGCTAATCAGTGAATGTCACATTCTGGTATTCAGTGCTGTTTTGTTTCCCTGTAAAGATCGTGATCTCACCTTAAACTTACCTCCTCACTGATCTTACTGCCTTAAGATGAGGAATGTACATTTTAAAGACATATTACTCATAAATAAACAGTGTTAGGAAGGTTACTGTGGAAATGTAATTGGTTACAGATTACAAGTTACTCTATTTAAAATGTAACAAGTAGTGTAACTTTCAGTTATTTTATTAAAGTAATGTAACGATTACATTTGATTACTTTTTGATTAAATTGTTAATCATTTTGAAACGTTTAAAGCAGGCAGGTTTAACCTTACAGTAGTGCTCAACACTAATTACTGTCAGACTTTCAAAATCCAACTTTATTTGAATTAAGATTATTAATAATAATAATAATAATAATTTAATTTTAAAGCACAGCCACCACAAAATCAAACTTTAGCACCTCTTTTTACTTTGAGATCGTTCTGAGGTTAAATACAGATCTAAAATCATAAGATATAGTTTAATAGCTATGATACTGTTTCTGAAATCAAATCCTTGCATAGCTATGACAGGAAACACTGGCATCGAACAATGCCTTGGAAAAACAGTTAATTAAAAAAAAAATAGAACGTATACATAAACTCAAATAGGAAATAAAACAGTTATTGAATAAGCATGTGTCCTAAACTCCTAAAATATTGGTGTCTCATATTTTAGAGCAGTCACTGCAATTTATGAAAGAAATCAAATCTGTATGTGTAAAAATATTCAGATGTAACCCCTTTGTAATCGTTAACATTTTCAAAAGTAACTGAAACTTGACTACACTTTTTCTCAGTAACTGTAACTGATTACAGTTACATTTTTTATAATTAAATTACGTAACTCCGTTACATGTAACTAGTTACTCCCCAACACTGTAAATAACACTGTTTGAACTTTAAGCATATTGAAGGTGATAAAGTAATTTGACACATTTCAATCCATTTTAATATCACCATTTGTCCCCATCTTCCCAGACTTGCAAATTGCACATTTCCATATCATGATGAAGTTATTTTAAAAACGTGTTTGGTTTTCTATGTCTTATTCTGTCCAAAAGGCACAGCATACCAGGAATGAACCCATTATGAAAGTAAATGTGAGCAATGTTAGGTAGGTTATTCCAGAGTTTGGGCGCTAAATAAGAAAAGGATCTTCCGCCCGCAGTTGATTTTGATATTCTAGGTATTATCAAATGGCCAGAGTTTTGAGAACGCAACGGACGTGGAGGACTATAATGCAATAAGAGCTCGCTCAAATACTGAGGTGCTAAACCACTCAGGGCTTTACAAGTAATAAGCAAGATTTTAAATTCTATACGATGTTTAATAGGTAGCCAGTGCAGTGTTGACAGAACCGGGCTAATATGCTCATACTTCCTGGTTCTAGTAAGAACTCTAGCTGCTGCATTTTGGACCAGCTGGAGTTTGTTTATTAAGCGTGCAGAACAACCACCCAATAAAGCATTACAATAATCTAACCTTGAGGTCATAAACGCATGGAT